AGAGGAATTTCTCTACGAAAAAAATAGCAAAAAAAAAGTTTGAACGGTTGTCCTATTCATATGTTTCGAATTTAATAAAATAGACTATTGTCTTGGCCCGAGTGATGTCATTTTTTTTGCTCTTTGCGATGAAAATGACGCAAAACCCAACTTGATTGAATTTTTATTCTCGCGTAGCACGGTGTGCGTGTTTTATAACACGAAAAGCAAAAGCTCACATTGCGTTCTCAGTTGTAACCTTGTTTATATATACTACAGGAATATATGAATTGTTCGACGGGATTTTTCTGGAATTCATTTCCATATTTGGAATATTCCCTGACTGTACTACAGTACACTCTGGCTGGGCTAAAAAAGTTCGTTATAGGAAATTTGTAGTTAATCAAAGAATGATCTTCAAAGAAGGGTTCTCACCTGAAGACCTTTTGAAGTTTAATCTATTTTGAAAACTATAGTGTAATGACAAAATTGCAAAATGCTAATAATGAATTATTTTAAATTAAATTTTGAAATTAATAGTAAATTTGGATTCCAATATCAATTTGTAGTGTGGAATGAAGTTTCTTTATGTATAATTTTCTTTTAAAAATTTTTTCGCTTGCAAAATTTTTCTTATAATAATTATCTTCCTCTTTTTGTCGTCAGTGATTAACTCTTTAAATGTGACAAGACATTTTTTTAAAGAGAAACTGTTTATTATATTTATCTGTATTGGACGTCTATAGCCCTACAACTTTAGAGCCAATTTTGAAGTTAACGTTAATATGTAACCATTACGCATTCTTCAAATTTTTAATTAATGCCAATAACTAAAACGTTGATATGATTCAAATTTACAATTCATTACTATCCAGAATATTTTAAATATCCATTATTACAGAGCATGAGTAATGTTTAAATCAGATAAATGATTTGAATCTCTAGTCCGAAATTCACATTGAAAATTAAAATAAGAATGTACTCTTAACACTTTATTATCAAATGGGGTGATGCTGTACATCTTGCAGCTTTGAGCATTGGTCTCCACATTTAAATCTCCCTTTCATTAAAAATCACGATTCAAAGGATAAGAAATCTCGTGACTGAGCTATTTTAACTGACCAATTTTTACCAATAAACAGTGATATGAATATTAATTCATTCAATATTCAAATGTATAAATAACTCGATAAAATTTTTAAAAAAGGATATTCCGATGATTTACCTTCAAATTGTGCAGTAATAGTAAGAGATGTTTTTGATAGTACATGTTAATTTGTATATATAAGCATCCTTTTTTCCTTGTAAAAGAAAAGATGATCTATAATTATTACTATTCTTATAATGAAATAGGACATCATTCAGAAATTATTTACACTCGGTGGACAAAAGTTTGCATCCAAAATTTCTTTTGAATTTATTCCAAATCTATATATATTAATTAAAATATTGTAGTCTTTATATCATTCGAAAGTTCTTATTCTTGAGAATATGTTCGTGACATTAAATTTTGAAGTTTTGTCATAAAAACGAATGATGTGAAAATAGCGAAAATGTTTGTTTTTAAAACAATTTTGAAAAATGGGAAAGAACTACGAACTTAAAGTACGCCCCGAAGGGTTTAATATTGCATTGTCGACAATGGTTGGCCAACTAGATATTAAATAATATATTTTTTTTTTTGAAATAAAAAATAAGTCTTTATTTATTGATATTTTGTTATTTTTACTTCGTTTTTTATTTTTTATTTTTATCTTTTTTTACGACAAAACTTCAAAATTTAATGTCACGAACATATTTTAAGAACAAGAGCTTTTGAATGATATAAAGATTACAATATTTTAATTAGTATATATTAATACAGTTTTAAATAAATTCAAAAAAAATTTTGGATGCAAACTTTTGTTCACCGAGTGTATATACCCCAGAAAATTTGGCTCAGTTTTAATGAATTTTATTATAAATGCTTCATTTAAGTTGCTTCTAAGTATTCTGATCTGCAAACATATCCTAGTAGTTGATGTAAGGGTAACACTTCACTATTTAGCCCAGTTAAAATGTTTCATGTCTAAATGAATAGGCAATATTTTAGAAAATTAGTATCACCAGTAGGTTCATGGCATATGTGAAACTTCTTTACACTTAAACATAGTAAAATGAAAACCTATTGTAATATTCGGTCAAACCTGGATTATAATTAAATTCGCGTTATAGTGGATTTTTAAATTTTTCGTTCATAATAATATAAATAATATAAAATATAAAATTCGACATGACGAGATTAGTGATTTTTGGTACAACAATATTAATATGATATTAAGTTGTATCTATGAATTCGTTATTAATTTTAAATATCAGCCCCGTTTTTTACTATGGTACAAAATCTCTCTATAATAACTCAAATTTGGATCTAAAAAATAAAATAATAAAATAATTGCAAAAAACAAAAAAAATTTATGATCATAAATTTTGTTTATTACTAAAAGTTGCTTATAATAGCAGTTGAACACCTTTATAATGTGAAGCCAGTTCACTAAGTCACAGCAGAACGTAAATTTTAAAAAGGATACCATATAACCGGTAGAATGTAACCAGAAGAACAACATATGTATTTAGACAAAACTATTCAGGGAAAAACATCAAGATCAAGTTGCACTCTCATTTAAAAAGTTTTTAAATTTGTTCAGCAGCTTTAATTACCCACCATCCTATCATGGAAGGATAGGCTTATTGGCGGTTTGGTTTGATAAATTAGTAGATTACATGAACTGGTTTATAGTTGATGTTCGTTCCATGGGGTAGACAGATGCAAGATATACTGTATATTCCATATATATACGTGCTTGCTCACTTTGAAGAGTAGATAGATTTCAGGATATATATTTGTGTGTGTTTTGACATTTTAATTTGTTCGCGATTAATTTATGAAATTTTATTTCATCTTTAGCGTCCAACTGCGGTGGCGTTACGTTGGTAAATAATTAAATGATCCGTTAAAGAATGAAAATGGAGTTAAAGAATTCTAATCAATAAGTTTATAACTCATGACTAGTGGACTAATTGGTTCCTTGAACATTTAAATTTTCTTTACAAAAAAAGCAGGAAATTTTTTTAAGTGGAAATACCTGTTAAAACATTGTTTATCCATTTGTTAAATTTTCTTTGATATTAATAATAAAATAATTTATTAATTAAAATAGCCATTCATAAATCTGATTAATTATCCACTAATTAGACAAAAAAGAAAAACATTACAGCTGCAAAATTTTTAAAAAATTTAAAGCGCTCAAGCTACTAAATTATCATGGAGCAGGGGTTGGCAAATTAACTGGCCCATTGCCATTAATGAAATACTAAATACGGTTAAACTGTTGCACTAAGGTGCCCAATGGATCACTAATAGATAGAGCTTACCGGTCAATTTGAATGTGTTTGAATCAATAATTTTGGGATACTAAATTATTCGAATATTTGGTTTTTTAAACAATAATAATTTTTATAATGATGATTCTAATTCTACTTTCACTTTCCAGACCTTCTATACAATTGGATTCGGATTCAACTTACCACATCTGAAACTATAGTGGCAGTACCGCTATCTTTGCCTGTCTTAATTAGTTCTAACCAGCCACAAAAAAAAAGGCGTGAAGAAAACTTACAATCAACTAGAATGTGGAGAGCTAGAGATCTTATAATTTAATAGGTGAATATGATGAGTTTGTTAAGCGTAAGGCTTGTTCCAATAATCGAAAAAAGAAAATATTTAAACATAATAACTCTTAATTTAACCTTTCGCATAATAATTTTCAAGTTAAATTTTTATTATGAATTTAAATAAAAAAAAAGCATAGAAATGGGTTCGAATCAAATTATTGGTTCAAATCGTTCGAATCGTTAATGTACAAATCGTTCGAATCACTGATGGTTCGAATCGAATATTCGAATTGGTTTGAACCGGTTTGTACGTAAGCTCCAATTACCAATGGACCTTCAATGGATCACACATTTGCCAATTTTAACATGGAGAGCTTATTGGTTTAAAAAAATAGTTTACATATTAAAAGATCTAAAGATGCAGTTTAAACACCATTAATGTTTGTTCATATTGAAGAATTAAGCATTGTAACGAGTGCAAACTTTACATGCTAAAAATATTTATGGTAGAAAGGCTATAAAGAAGCCTTTAACTTTAGAAAAAAAGGTTATTTTGGTGTCATATTAGAAAAAATTGGGAACAAGCAGGAAGAGTGATCAGCCAATAAATGTTAGTTTCCAAAACTATAGAGCTTCGCAATTGTAAAAGGTTCCTCCATAAATCTTTCGACTTTTGATTTAGTTTTAACAAATAGCTTTTAATTTTAATTCTCTCCAGAAAAGTTTTGGCAACCAAGACTAGATTAAAATAAACCAGTCATAGGTAAATAAAGGAACTTTGAGCTTTGTAAAAGGCCCCATATTCTATAATTATCCTGTACCATCAAATGTGTTCACAGATTCATCAAAGCTTTCTAGGTATAAAAAAGAGGCAGTAATTAACTGACAAGAGTAAGGTTGCTTGCCGAAACCTCTTAGTGATTGTAGAAACTCTGTTGAAACTCTAATGAACAATTAGTATATACCTTGTCAAAACTCTGACAATTGACAAAACCCCCAAATGCAAAACTCTGCTGAAACTCTAATAAACAATTAATGTGTAACCTGTCGAAACTCTGTCAATTGATTTCTGGAGGAGATTTGCCCACAACCTTAGACAAGAGTGACCAAAGATTAAGCTATTCTTGGTCGTTAATTGAAAAGCTGTCTTACACTATGACGTTGGAAGGAGCTTTTGATATTTTTTTTAATCCTTAGTTTAATCACAATATTAAAATATTCTAAGCTATTATAAAATGTTAATATAATAAATGTTTTTTCTTTCTTTTTGGAGTGTTCCAAAGCTCAAGACCTTTTATTATAAAAAAATTTCAAATTCTGGAAATAACAGCTAAAAGAAAGAAAAAATGTAAACTTTTAGTTTATAATTATCCAGACTTTATTACATTTTTGCACTTATCAAGCCATTCATAAACCTGATTAATTAAATCATGTGCCTCTTGTAATTTATTTTCTAACCATTCAACATTTTCTTGTTTAAGTTTTTCTACATTCTCAGTTGTTGCCAATGAATCTAATGCTTGCTTAACATTCTTCTTATAATGGGTGTAACTAAAAACACAAATTCTAATGAGTTTGAATGATAAAAGAAACCACAAAGTACCAAAATATTATATACAAACTTGAATTTTTCTAGCAGGTTAAGACATTCTTCAGCTTTGTCCATATCTTTGTCTTTATTCAACTTATCTTTGATTATATTCAATTTGTCTTTGGTTGCATCCATTTTACTTTGCATTTTATTTAACTTCGCAGTCACATCCACCATTGGATCTCTCAAGAGAATGATATATTTGTGTAATGCCTTTTCTTTTTTCTTTCTCAGGGCACCCTGACAAAAAGTTATTATTTCATTGTAAATCTTTTGAAGTTGGTGAGACTTCTTTTGTTCAAGAGCATGACGAATCCAAGTTTGGATTTTTGTGGCAGATTCATTGGTCTGTTGAAACCATGATGTAATTTCACTATCCTCATCTTCATTAGTAATAGTGACAGACATGGAGCTGGTAGCTACTGGTGATATAATTTGTTGAAGAGCAAAGTGAAATTCCTTAATAGAAGAGTATGTAAGTTTCACAATATCTTGGCTCTCATAGTTGGAAAATTTGGAGGTGCCTCCACAATTGTAATGGACAATGACCAGAGAGTCAAGGCCATAGTCACTTAAGTCTTCACTCAAAATGTTCATAAGGTGAAAAGGTGAGCTGTCTAAATATTAAGAAAAACAATGCAATGTTATATATTTATAGATTTATAACCGTGTTTAAAAATTATTTGAATATTAACTTTTCATATAATCCTCAGAAAGATATTTCTTAGCCCTAGGAGAAGAGATTTTATTATTTAAATGATTGAAAAGATCAAAAATCTTCTGTGCAAAAGTGGATTCATTTAGGCTGATGAGAACCAAGAGCCGTATCAATCGAAGCTTTATCTTTGTATCACCCCCTTGTTGCAGAAGCTGTTTAATTTGTTTAAAAGAATGATCAATTGCAGCTAGATAGTCATCTATATGATAAGCATTTTGTTGATTAAGATTAAAAAAAAGTGGCTTCACAGTGAATGCTTTAAAATAATTAACAAGATATGCTTGAGGAAGACAAAAATCGCAATATTCAGGACCAGCCATGAAAACCAAAGACACTTTAAACTCCATAAGAGATACAATATCACCTAAAGCATTGGGGCTATCCAAATGAACTAATTTGGCATTGTCTAAAGCATATTGAATAAACACACTTGCATGTAAGATTGCATCAATAACATAGTTTTTATAGAGATGCTCAAAGAATAATGAAAGTCGTTTTCCAACTGGAATTACTTCATAATATTTGTACCCATGGTACTCCTCAAAACCAATGAGTGATTCATCAGGTTGTGAAAGCTCTTTTGTTTTGACATTTCCAAATCAAATTTCTTAATGCCTGGTTTGTCCCTCAGCTGTTGCAAAATGAATATGCATTTTAGCATGGTTGCAAAGTTGTCAACTTTGAGCTCTTTAGCCACCCATATATTTTGAACATAACTGATAAAAACAGAGAATGTGTGCATAGGAAGTTTTGAGAGCATCACCTGAGTCATTTCAGGGCAGCTTATTTGTGGTGATTGATAACGAATATGAATTTCAACTAGTTTTTCAGTCCACCACCCTTGCATCACAGGAACCTTTTCACTTTGCTCCTTGCTAAGAAGCCCATTGCAATGGTACATTATATCTAACTGTTGAATAACAGTATAATTAAGACTTGCAAGTTTCAAGCGTTGGTGCAGAACTAATGGTGTTGGAATCACATGATGATTTTCACAACTTGGTTTTTTTTTACAGCGACAAATATGAAAGCTTATATTTGGAATTTGCCTGCTTTTCTTGTCAACATCACAGATGAGCTTAAAGATATATGAGGCAAGGAATTGCTTCATTTTAATGTGCAAAATATTTGCATTATAAACATGTTCATCATCTATGATTTCATGTTTAATTTCATCCCACATATTAAGAAATGGATTGCCTAAAAAAAATTTCCATTTATTTGAATGACTCCTCACAAAAAAAATCTCCTTAAAATCCTTATGAATTTTGTTAATGTTGTCAATATTTTGATGTGGTGCTATAAAAAGAAAAGTTAGTACACATAATCTTAACAGACATTGCAGCCATTCATACCAGTGCTCTACTGATTGAGGAATGATTTGCAGACATATATTTACTGCACAAAATTCAGTAACAGGCTCTTGATTACTTCTAAAGAATTGTATACACTCATTAACACTATTGAGATCCTTATTTAGATAAGCTGAGTATAATTGAATTTCTTTCATCAAACTTTCCCATTGTTCAGATTTTTCTAATAAATGTGATTTGAATTTCTTGACAAAATTATTTGCCTTGGAAATGAGCTTTTTCACTTCTTGTTTGGTATTTGAAAATGTCATAATATTTTTTATTATATTAACTCTGCATAGATTTAGGAAGCACTTTAACACCTCAAGATCTTCTGAATTGGCCTCTTTCAAGATGACAATATTGTTAATGGCCTCTTCAAACTTGCCACATGAGCATAGTCCTCTGGCAACAGATCGATAATGAGTGCTAATAAGATTCTCATCAATCTCTTGTCTGTAACTGTTAAAATAATTTAAACAAGTGTCAGAAATTTTTTTGCTGCATAATATTTATATACTATTCCATAAATTTATAATAACTATGGAAAGTTTATATAAAAAAATTTCCAGATAGCATGCCACACTTTTTTTTCAATAAACCATGATTTGGTAATGGCAGTAATATATATATCCAACATAATTGTTTAGGAAATCATGGCGATGAGCTTACCTTTTCACCAAATCATTTATTTTTTCATAAAATTTACCATCTTTATAAGCAAGAAATGCTTTATCGTACTTCTTTGCCTTTTGAAAAGTATCACCTACTTTATCCCATTTATTGGCTTTAGAGTAAAAATGAGCAGCATACTCTAACTTATCACACGTTACATAAATATCACCAGCTTTTTCATACATGTTGACCTCCTAAATGTTTTGCAGATTTTAATAAATTAATATTCAGACAGATGTGATCCATTTCTAAAGTGTCTGAAAAACAAAGTTTTTACCAGATAACATGAGGCTGCATTAATTGGTAATGAACATTTTAAGAAAGCCTCAGCAGCACTAACAAAATTGAAATTCACAGTAGTAACATCAGAATCATATATAGAATCTTTGGCAAACTGCTGAAGATATTTTGCTTTTGCTAGATTGTACTTTTCATTTTTACTTTTCTTGAAGCAGAAAGCAGCCTGAAGGTTATTAGATTACATTAGTCAATTCAATTCATTATATAACGGAATATTTCAAATGTAATTTTTACCTGGTCATATTGCTGTTGTTTAAAAAAAATTTCTCCTTGTTGATCCCATTGAGATTGACTACTTTTCTTAGCCAAAGTAGACAAAGTAGCACTGTTTCCATTCACAATATTAATTACATTGACCAGTTTATGATGTTCCCAATACTTACAAACTGGCTCACTCCATTCAGTGTTTTCATCATAGATCCAAATTTGCTGGCGTGCTCTTGTCACTGCAACATAAAGATGTTTGAGTTCTGAAGAAAGTATATAATGTTTCTCATGATAAAATTCTTGAATTCCTTTTGAATGGTTGTCAAAAGCAGAGAAAATTACACGCCACTAAATATATGACATAATTATTTAATAAGTGACTAATATGATGTGTTCAAAAGAATGCATAAAATTTTACCTTTGAGCATGCAGGTGAATCAGCAAAGAAATTGTACAACAGCACATCATTAAACTCCATCCCTTTGGACTCAAATACAGTCAATATCAATCCAAATTCTTCACCAATTTTTTTCTTCACATGCTCTTTAGCTTCATCATCACGTACAATAATGACCTGCTCAGCACCAAATTCAATATTACTTGACTCATTCCCATCCTCAGAAAAGTCATGGAAAAAGAATGCTTCAGAATCAATCCCTTCAAAAACAATTGGTTGAGGACCACCAACTTCACCACACTCACGTGGCATCTGGTCAATGGACTCAGGAAAAAATTGAGTGATTAGATCAATTACTGATGAAGCAAGTCTAAGGATTCCATTGTGTGAACGGTAATTAATATTCATTTCAAACAGTTTTGGCATTATGGCACTCGGTTGATTGTGAATAATTTTAGGTCGATCACGTTCCCATTTATATACAAAAGCTTTCAGATCTATATAATTATAATTGGTTATTAAAAAAAGGACAATGTGTAGTAATTTTCACAACCATTCTTAATGTTAGCTGCTTTTTGTATGCATACCTTGAAATCGAAAAGATGATCCCCTTGCAATACATTGTGCTATATCCCCAGCCAAAAAAATATTGTCAACACGTTCAAAGAGCTTTAAAATAAGTGCTAATCCTACAATGCTATTGTCCTGACACTCATCAATATATACTTCATGTATTTGCAAATTAAATGGATTCTCTCTCTCTCGATCCATTTTGACATGTTGTAAAATAATAATTGCCCTAAAAAAAAGATTTTAAAATTTATCAAAAAATGAAAATCATGTATTATCTGAGACTTACAAGTCTATTGAGTCATAATCTTCCTTCCTCTTTTCATATTCTAGAAATAAATCATAAATTTCATCACGGTTGTAGCAAAATGTTGGGAATTTTTTAGTGCTGATGTCTTGATAATCTTCTCTTGAAAGGTGTTCACCATTTGGATTAGAACCCTTAAAAATATTTATTTAAATTTTAAAATAGAACATCATGAAATTTTCTTGTCATAAATAACAGTTAACTAATGGTGTTAATCTTACAAGCCTATGTAGAATTACAGTTAAACTATACAATATCAATTAAATAACGTGATGTAGGAATTTTACATACCTTGATAATAGAAAATTCAGAAAAGACCAGCCCACAATCAAATTTCTTTGTATAATAATCATTGAAATGACGCCAATATTTTTTTTCAAAGAGTCTAAAGTTTACGAAGCATCCTGATAATGAATCCGACACATCATCATCTGTATCATCATCATTTACATCAAAATTTGGTTGTTTAGTTGGATTCAGTACATTAATGTCATAAGTTCCTAGAAGCATTTTGATGAACTTTTCATAGGTAATTATTAATGGGAAATGGTCTTTTGTCAGAAGACGGAATGAGTTTGGAATTTTATCTTTCCCAATCTTTGTGTCATTTGTCACATCAATATTATCACTTTCCTCGTGGGATTGATCTTTGTACATCCTTTTATTAGCAAATGCTACCGACGTCAGCAATTTGTTGAAGTTTTCTTTTACTTTGTGACAAAGATTATCACTCAACGTAATGAATATTTGTCTTTTATGAGAATCCTCACCATTGTCATTTGATGTTTCGTTGGGTTGGCTTTTCAGGTATGAAGCAAGAAGTCTAAACACAATACATGTGGTTTTTCCAGTTCCTAGGTATAAAAAAAAAATAACGTTAGCCTTTTCTCCCTAATTATAAAAGCATAACAAAATTTTTAATACTAACCAGAACGACCAATGACAATTGCTGATGAAGGATGATTGATAATTTCATACTCAAGCTTAGATACCTGGAAAGTAAATTCAGTACCACCTCTGGCAAGTGACAAAAACAAGCTCTGCACGCAAAATTGGTTAAAATGTGTTTTGTCTAAATCCTTAAATAATAATGATTTGTTCAAATTCACACTCTACCTTTGATAATGGAACAAACTTATTTGTAGTAAGCATTTCATGGACTTTTAGCAAATTTTCATCATCTGTTTGGTTCTTCCTCAATCTGCTCTGGGTGGACTTTGTTCCACCCTCATCTTCAAAGGATTTTGGTAAAACGATACCACCTTTGCCAATCTGTTGGAATGCACACTTGTCTTTATGCTCAGGGGTGTAAACTTGGTGAAGTAATGCAATATTTTCTAATCTTTCGTTGGTTTGCTCTTCGTTCACAGTGACTGCCCAAATTACCGCATGCTGAATGTATGACTTGTCACGAATAGAGAATCCATAATCAACCTGCCAGAGAATTTTCAAGTTGTCACAATTCGGAGGTTTCAGTTCCACCACATAAATAGGTAGTATGACGTGAGAATGAGATTGTAATGTATGTTGGAGTCCATGCTTATTCCATTTTCCATGTGATATCTGAAAGAGTTTCTTCATGAGTGCATCGATTGCGCAAGGCTTCATCTGCAACTCTTGGATATCTTGGATTGCATGATCACTGAGCAGAACATTCCACGGGCCAAGTTCATCATCATTGGATTCAAATGGCAGGCGAAAAAGACTTTTGTTCATTTTTCTTTCCAATATTATGAATATATATAGTTGCACAAGTTGTAAATATGATCAAAAACAGCAATAACACTTCCTAAATGTAAATTTTATTTTGCAACAAGTGAAACCAGTGAGATATATATATGAGAAAATTGTTTAATTTACTTCTAAAAAAAGAAAGCAATTTCCCGGAAAAAGATTGATTTGTAAAATAAAGGTATTGTTGATATTATTAATATGGTGGTGGATGATTAACCGTGTCATTGTTTCTAATTAAAGAATGATCTTCGAGGTTTCGATAATACTAAATACAATTATAAATTATTATTTTAAAAAAGCTAATTCTTTCTTACAACAAATAGATCGAAACTAACGTGAAATATATTGTTCTTAGACTTGCCAATTAAATTCATTGAAGAAATTAAAATATGGATTTTCTCTTTTGGTGCATATTTAAGGAATTACAGATTGTGTGACAAGTCATTCAAAAAAACTATAATTATACAAAAAATTTAAAGTTAAAAAATATTAGTAAGACCCGGCAAAAACGGTTTGTTCTTGTTTTACTCAATGCAATGAAATCCATATCCTAATTTTTAAAAAAAAACAATGATATTAAGATTAAATATAATATTTAATAAATGAATTCATTCGTTCATTATTACCTCCTTTGATAATTCAAAAAGAAATATCTCAGAATTAGTTTTAATTCTTTCAGGTGTAACAGATTTAGGTATAACAATAGCATCATGTTGATATCCCCATCTCAACAAGACTTGTGCCTCAGTAACCTCGTGTTTATCAGCAATTTCTCTAATAATGGGTACTTTGATTTTTTCCATTTACCAATTGTCCCTCTCCTAAGCTCAAGTAAAGCTTCTACCCTGATATTATGTTTTTTAGTCAATTCAATTATTTCTTTTTGTTCATCTTGATACAACAATAGGTGCAACTTGAATTGATGTACTGCTGTTACAACTTTACAATTAGCTAATAGATGTGTAAGACGTTTTGTTGTATAGTTGCATACTCCAATTGATCTAAGTTTACCTTCAGAATATAATTTTTCTAACACTTCCCAGCTTCCTTGACGATTGGTTTCATTCATAAGATCTCCTGGTTTAAGTCCTTACATCCTAGAATTTTATTTTATCTATTTCACTAATAGTAATGAAAAAAAAAAATCAATCGCGTCAACAAAAAAAAACCATACATAATAAATATTCTTTTTTTACAAAATGTCTTATACGACATTAAAAAGAAAAAAAGAAAGCCACAATAAAAATACATATGGATAAGTGTTTATCATAAGAATGGTGGTGGTTATCGCCACTTGTCGTCACTAGTTATTTAAAAAGAATGGTTATGTTATGTACTTGTTTTTTTATTAATGTCAACAATAATGAACAAGAAGTCCCAACCATCTCAAAACAAAATAATGAAGCCTTGTTCCAATGATCTCAACCTAATCAACAACTTAAATGCTAATCAGTAAGTTTTGTCATTTTGAATTAATTAATTTGTAACTTGATTTAAACCCTGAATTTGTATTTACTTTTTAACTCTAATAGTGTGTTAATGGATTTAAAATACTCCCCTCTGAAGTCATTTTAACAATAATCAAATATTTAGATCCAGTGAGCATGTATAACATTATGCGAACATGCAAATAATTAAAACAAATCATATATTATGGTCGATATTTTCTAATGCAGAGAAATTGGTGGAATGATAAAAATAAAAGTGTTACTTTCAAAAGCCATATTCCAAGAAAATCATTTCAGGATCAGATGATAATTGTATAAATACATATTAATATGAAACTTTCCACTGGAAGATTAATTAATACTTTTAAAGGACATGAATATCATGTTTGTACATTACAAAACGTTGAGAATATATTGGTTTCTGGATCTGCTGACAAGAAAATTTGTATATGGGATCCCTCAAATGGTATGTGCATGCATGTACTCAAAGATAGTTATCCATTTAAAGAATGTAATGCAAAAATACAATACATTCCCAAATTTAGAAATTATGTATGCAGGTTATTAGCCACTACTCAAAGGCTATACAAGCACTGTTCTATGTCGTCAGATCAATAATGCCACAAAACATTAATTCAAGCCTCTTAATTGTCACTGGTTCAGAAGACTCTACATTAAAAATTTGGTGTTTACCTAACCTGAAAACTGATAAAATTCATCGATTACACCATCCTACTACACTTCCACCACTACCTGATAAAAATCAAAATCTACATATCCTCGCACTCTCCAAAATCACACTGGCTCAATCTGCACCTTAGCAGATGGGGTTAACACTTCGGTTAGCAGCAATAATGACTGGACGGTAAGAGTTTGGAATATAAACACTGGAGAATGTATATGGTGTTTATAAAGATGTTGTATGTGAAAATGAAATCTGAGAGGTTTGCAAATTCACATACGTGAAATTCAAATTAGCCAATCAGAATTTCATATCCAAACTCCCCACCCCCAAAATTTTAATTATAAATTTCACATAGTTTCAATTTCACATACAACAAGGACATATAAACAAAGAGTTTATTCTGTTTCTGCAAAAAAAAGATGCGCGAATGGATCTATGGATGGTGTTGTTAAAGCTTGGAATCTTAACAATGGCGCAAAACTCTGGACTATGACTTTTCGCTTTCATACTCTTCCCTTGTTAAAAATACTTTTTGTTAATAGGACTAGAACATATGGATCTTTGTGTAGATTATCTACACTTTTTTAATGTCACATTATTTCAGTTGCAAGAAATTCAAGGCTTTGCTTATTAGATCCTGAAAATGACAATGTAAAAATGAATTTTTCTGCACATAACCACCACATAAAATGTTTTCATAACGATATTGATAAAATAGTAACTGCAACTAATGTTGGTTTCCAAAACTGGAGAGTTTTGCATCTATGCGAAAGTCAAAAGGTTTCGCCATAAGTCGAAACTAGTTTTGACCTTTGACTTTTTGACTTTTGATTTAGTTTTGACATATAAATTTTAATTTTAGTTTTGACTATCACTTCTTCGAAATAGTTTCGGCAACCAATACTAACTGCAACTGATGAAGTGATATATTTAAGTGGTAACAATTCCATATCTAATTGATGAGTTATCAAGTGATTTAAGTAATGCTTGATAATACTTTCAATTTAATTTTTTTTTCACTTTTTTTGATATTAATCTTTATCAACTATATATTTATTATTTTGCTTTATTTTTATTACTATAGGCAAGTGAAATTTAATGATCGTTATTGTGTTACCGCTGTAAATATATATAATAATTATTATTATTGCTAACTAATTATCATCCCTACTCCCATGTGCAGTTTGAGGTCTCTGGTGATGATAAATTGACTGGTGATGGTGGCATTAATAGTAATGATCCTTCTTCATCTTGTGGATAAAGTTCCATAATCCCACAAATTCCAAAATCAATGACTTCAAAAGAAGTAACTTCATATTTCTATTGTCATTATAACATTTGATTTTAAATAAATTTAGTTGATTAAACAAACATAGAAATTGTCTTTGCTAAATACAATTCACACTTTTTATAACAGCAAGAACATTATCATTGTTATTAATAATCAGGGAATATGCCTATTACTATTATTATTATTAGCATAAGAAAGTAAATAATTTCTAAATTTGGATTGTTGAAACAAAATTACACAGTGTAGTGGGTTGAGTCATTTAACTGATAAATTTCAATACAAGTTTTTCTATCGACTATCAATAATTATTTTAACGGATTTAGCGAATTTTTTTTTATATACATTCAATTAATAACAAATTTAATGAAGCCATCACTCATTCTAATTTATTTTTATATAGGGGTAGTACATATAGGAGATTTGTCTGGTTTTGTTGCAAATATTGATAAACAAGCTAAGGCTTAGCTTCAAGAAAAAACTAATCAGCCACACTAATATTTTTTGTTTCCTTTTTATTTAAATTTTTTATTTGTAACACGATCACTGTAAGATTTAATGCATATAATTTATTAATTTAAAAAAATTTTTGACAAAAAAAATTAGCATGTCTAATTCAAATAAAGTAGAACAAGAAGAAACGATACTTCGTGAGTCACAAGAAGAAGAAGATTTTTACCCATTAGATCAAAGTAGTTCCCATGAATTGAATAGGCTGGTTGAGGAAGAAGATGATGAACAGAGGTTGATTCCGAATGCAGAGGAAAGACAGAGCGAGGTTTTTGATTTTGGTGATAACTTAATACCTCTGTCGTTAACGGAAACTCAAAGGAATCCGACACATTTAGAGAAAGAGGTTACATTTATGAATGGGTTGACGTTAATAGTAGGTTTAATGATTGGATCTGGAATATTTGCTTCTCCAGGCCCAGTTGCCGTGCATGCAGGCTCAGTTGGAATGTCGTTAATAGTTTGGCTTGTATGTGGATTTTTAGCTTGCACCGGTGCTCTTACATATGCAGAACTAGGTTCAGAAATCCCAATATCTGGTGGCGAACATCCTTATTTAGCACATGCATATGGAAGTCTACCTGCTTTTTTATTTAGTTGGACTGCTATAACATGTTTAAAGGTTAATAATATTTAACATTTTGTTTAAATATAATTTCATACATGTTTATATTTATTTGATTATTTTCCTCCATGCCCCTCAAAAAAATAATAACAATTAGCCAGGAGGAAACGCAATCATTGCAGTGATTTTTGCAGAATATATTAATCGCATAATATATCATTCAATATTTGGTGAAGATACAAGCCCATCACATGACACGCGTCTTTGGCTGAACAAGATAGTGGCATCCATATGTATAATAGTATTGTCATTGATTAATTCATATAGTGTACGACTAGCCACTCGAACACAAGATATATTTACAGTCTTGAAATTGGTTACATTGGCAGCTATTGCAGTTATAGGTTTTATAGTACTAGGAAAAGGTGGATTGACCAAGAATTTTGAGGGTAATTTGTTTGCGGGCTCGTCTACAAGATTGAGTGATTATACACTGGCATTTTATTCTGGATTATGGGCTTATGATGGATGGTAGGTTATTTATTCTCTCAGTATTATTGTCTATTTATCAATTATAATTGTGAATTATAGATTATTAAATGTGAATCGTGAATTGTGAACTCGTTTGGTATTGTTTTGTCAATTCATTATTAATTAAAGAGTTACAGACTTCTTCTTTCTACATTCTCTCTTTTCTCTATATATGTGTCTCATCACATCATCATTATAATCATCATTAAATCCATCAATAACAACAATATATAAATCAGGAATAATTTGAATTTCGTTGCTGGTGAAATGAAAAATCCTGCAAGAGATTTACCACGTGTTATAATGGTTGGATTACCTATAGTGATTATAAGCTATTTACTTGCAAATGTAGCATATTATGCAGTCCTACCATCAGCAACTATATTGAAAACTAATACGATAGCATTGGTAAGATTCTTTCCACCGTATAACTAGCAAACATGCAAACGAATTTATGTTTATATTACACATATTAATAATTTTCTTATTTTATCATCTATCATTCATTGATTAGGATTTTGGTAAAAAAATATTTGGACCAGTTGGTGGAATTTTTTTTTCGCTCTGTGTAGCAGCAAGTTGCTTTGGTGCAGCTAATGGCAGCATTTTTACAGGCGCAAGATTAATATATGTTGCAGGACGTGAAGGTTATTTGCCAACAGTATTTGGTAAAGTCCATAATAAATGGAATACGCCTACCGCGGCATTAATCATGCAAGCTGTATTGACTATTCTGATGATTATACCTGGTACTTTTTTAACGTTGTTGAATTTTGTATCGGTTGCTGCTTGGGTTTTTTATTTCCTTACGTCGTTTGGATTATTGGTTTTACGATGGAGAGAACCAGATCTAAAAAGGCATGTATTTCGCAATGTTCTCATATATGTGTATATATATATATAATATAAATATTAATACTTTCATATTGTATTACATATTAGACCGTATAAAGTATGGATTAGTACTCCAATTATATTTTGTTGTGTAGCATTATTCTTGGTGATAATGCCATTTACACGTGTTCCATTAGAATCATTGGCAGCGTTAGGATTTATACTTGCTGGAATTCCATTTTGGTGCATCAGAGTTAAATATAAAGGTCACTTTAGTGTAAAAGGTAATAATAAATAATATGATGATGTTGATTAAATTTTTATTATAATTTCACTAAATTTCAAAAAAAAATTACTTTTTTTTAATTTTTAATTAGCATTCATGGATTATTTTGTTAACCTTAGTGAAATAATTAAAGAATGGAAAAATCAACAACGATACTTTAAACAAGAAACAATGGAAATGACATCATTGTAATTGATTATATATATATCATGGACATTTAATATTAACGGTAAAAGGAATTTTTTTTACAGTATAGTAATTAATAGATTTATTATCCTTATCATTAATTGTTATTTTATAATGTTCTACATTATTCAAAAGTTTTTTAATTTTTTATTTATTCTATCATCATTTTTTTTTTACACAAAACAATTATATAATAAATAATATATACAGAGTAAAACTTTTCTTAAAAAAACGATGATACGATTTTTATTATTTTTATTATTATTATTGTTGTTGTTGGTGTGATCATTGTTAGACCTTGTGATTAGGTAATTATCATAATGGATTAATTTTGATAATTTCAAATTTAAGTATCACTGTTAATATAATAAATGATAAATAAATGAATGAATGAAATATACGAAAAATAATACTTTTTTTTAAAAAAAAAAAAAACACATTTTCCTTACTTTATCACATTGTCATTATCATTATTAATTAACTAATATTGAATCTCGTTATTGTTTTCTAATGTTGGCCAATCTTCTTTTCTCGCCTTCAAGCTACAAATAAATTAATATGACATTTATGTGCAAATCAAATTAATGATCAAATTCATCCAATTGTCAATCATTCAATCACCCAATCAATGTGAAAACATACCACTTTCCGAACTCTTGCCAGCGAGCCAGAAGCGCTCGAACTTGCTTTACAATTTTCAAGATCATAAGGTGGATTAATAATAACCTCGTCCAAAACAACAATTTTTTCATCTGCCCATCGACATGGTAACCTATAATAAATATATACAAACATATGCACAAGCGCATACACACGCATACAAAATATATTTAATTATTCCAGTATAAAAATAAAATTTATATTTCATGCGAAAAAGATAAAATAATACAAACGTTTTACTCAAAGCATCAAAAATATCTTGAGCTTCCTGTGTTACACCTACACCAATTCTTGCTAATGCAAGTCGTGTCTCTTTATATGCTTGTAGATCTCTTGTTTGAATTCTATCCATTTGAACATAAGATACCGAAGGAGTAAATGTTGAAAAAATGTTATTATTATTATTTATATTTGCAGTAGATAATGTCGGTGAAGGTAATGATGTTGATGTTTTTGTATTTTGCCCATTTGCAACAATTGCTGTTGATATAATATTATTGTTATTATTATTGATATTGGTGTTATTATTACTACTATTACTATTATTAATGTTATTGTTATTGTTATTATTAGTATTAGTAACATTATTGCGAACGCTACCATCATTATTAGTAGAAATGTCAATTGATGATCTACGATTTGGAATTTGAACAACATCTTTAAGGAAACTTATTTTCAAAATTCTGAAATCAAATTTTGGTGAAATACTATTGATGGAAGCAGTATTGGTGTTGTTATTGACGTTGTTGGCAGCAGTTGTTGAATTAAATTGATTTGGTGAACTTGAATTTTGTAATTTTTCATTAAAATTATTTTTTAAATCATGGGATTTTGAATAATTAAATAAAGAGTTAAAGAATAATTAATTAATTAATTGATTGATTAAAAAATTTTTTTAATAAGGTTATATTTAAAAAGAATTTAGCCAACAAGATTCCTATATTTATCAAAAAAAAAAAAAAAAAAAAAGGATATGAAGTACAACACAATTAGTTCTTAAATCGTAAGCATAAATCTCTCCTTCATATTCCTCATCAAATAAAGTTTTGACTCGAACTGATCGTCCAAGCACCCATTCAAGACCTTTCTGTTGTAAATTTCTATTATCGTTAATTGTTGAATTATTGTTAACAGTCGGAACAGATGGTGTGGGATTGTTGTTAGTGTTAGTGTTAGCATTGTTTGAATTAATGGGAATGCCAACACGTTGATTAACATTATCAGATGGTGTTCTATTTGGTGGGGTGTGAGATTTAGAACGTTGCATTTTGACAATTATTGTTGTTTGTTGTATTCAAAAATTTAAAGAAAAAAGAAAGTCAATCAGTAAAGTTATTAGATTTTTATATGTATTTTTAAAAAATTTTTTTGAAAACTTTCATGCGCTAATATTATGTTTTGTAACACAAAAAATTTAAAAGCAAGCTAATACTAAAATCATAATCACGAGATAAATTGATGCACATCGGGAATTTTGTATTAAATTATTATCACTTCAATTTGACTTTGACTGACTACAGACAGAATACACTAGTTTTTTATAACACGCCTCGTAAAACTTATATTTAAATCATTTTTAAAACTGGTGTATAATTTAAATTCGAACGTAGACGATATTGAGTGCGATTTTTATTGTTATGTGCTCAAAACTCGTTACAGTTATCCCATGGTTTCCCTTTTAGCATGTAAATTTTTTTTTGTCATTTCACTATAACGGGTGACGGTTATTTATAAACATTTAATTGAGGAAGCAAAATAAGTCCCCCGTGGCGAAATTCATTGTAACAACCTTTGGCTGTACGTGACTGCCATTCTGACTATTTAACCTTTTTATTTTTAAAGTCATAATTATCCAACCAATTAACTCTGAATCTATCTACATTTATCACAAATCTATTATTATAATATATACGAGAAAGAGTGAACACAGTTTTATATTCCAATATGCTTGTAATGATTTTTCTGAATTTAATTATGTTGTTTAACAGATCTTGGTGCATAGTTATAACTCGATTTTATGGTTATATTACTAGCTAAAGTTAATATCACTATCTCCAATATATTAGAGTTGCTGCAAAAGTTCATCCATTTTAATTATTTTATTTACAGTTACTTTTGGTTTTTCGTATGCCTTTAATATCTTGTTGAAACCAATTCAAACTTTAGAGTGAATGAACTTATTTTCAATGATGATCCTAACAATCCTTGGAAACTTGCTTCTAAATATTATACAATTTGTACAAATAGTAACACTTATGAACAAAATTCTCTGATTGTTCACCAACCTGATAATAATACCAATAAGTTTGCAGATTTTCAAACTTCAGTGCTTGCGACATTTAATTTTCTTAATGGTATTCTTAATAAAATTTTTTTATGATATTTATTAATCACATAATCGAATTTTTTTATATATGGTAATGGAGAATTTGGATCTTTGTCATTACCAAATGACCCTCGTCTGACACTTTTATATATACCATTTTCATTTATAAGTGTAGTATACCTAATGAATTTATTCATTGGTTTACTTTCTAATTAAATAAAAGAAGCAACAAATAAGGGTATTATTATATTATTAGTACTATAACTCATAAAAGAATAACCAAGATTTAATTTTTTAAAATTATTAATTATTAGTTTATTACTGAAATCAAACTATTTTATTTATTTTCACATCAACATTGTGATTTCCTGGTATCTTGTAAATATTAATTGATAATTTATTAGTTCACATTATACAGTACCTGACCAAAAGTTTTGGAACACCCGTTTTGTTAATCATATTTTTAATAGTTTGTGAAAAAAAAATTAAGTTTTGACGTGGTATTTTTATTAATTGCTCAAGAGCAGTGTTGGAATTTCCGGTCCTAGTGGGAAACACACTGGAACACTGGAATCGCGAGAATTAAAACCAAACTGGAACCACAGGAATCGATGAAAAATTTGCGTGAATTTTATTTTCATTATTAGAATAAATATATATCTACTTACATGTAATAATGCCGCCATGGAATTCTTTTTTCTTTGGAGTGGGAATTATGACTAATGCTAGCAAGCAACAATTTTCCTAATAATTTTTTATACACGTGATAAGATCATATGACTTTGTAGATTCACTTGCTCCATAGTAATGCAAAAAAAGAAAATTTTTCTTTATTTTTACCTTTATTTTTTTAAAATGAGTAGTAGACATACGGATGGAAAGCCTTTGCATATTTTTTGTTAATAAAAGTAATTGTTTAGCTATCTGCAAAGTCTAAATACAAATAAAAGGATGGAATGGTCTTTACCTAAGGCTACATAACAATAATTAAAAATTTCTAACACTGTTCCATCTATTGGTGAACACCTAATAATGGAGTTGATGGAAGTGATGAAAGTGATGATTGTGAAGATGGTAAAGATGACATTGATGATATATAGAATGGATCAAGTTCTTTCGTCAGTTCATCATCAAACAATGGAATTGAAAGTTTTCGGTTTGAAGCATGGAAGATGAGACATTTAATGAAACTAGTGATGAAAGTGGTCTGGACGATAATTCAGAAGAATTGAAATTTTATTAAAAACATAGTACATCCAGCCGATAATAAAAAGACAAAATGGAAATTAGCAAGATTGTTTAAATCTGGATTGAAGCCCCCGAATGAATACATACACAGTGAGCCTTGGTATAACGGATATGTTTGTTCCAGAAAATTTATCTGCTAAGCCAAGATATCCATAAAAAATCGATTAAATCATGTGATACATGTTACGTTAAAAAATAAGTTTTATTAAATAATAATAAAAAAACAGTTGGTATAAATTAATAAAAAAAACAATTCATTCATTTAAAACGTTGACATTATAATAATCTCCCATTCTCGTTTGCACTTGTTCTTGAAAATTTTTGTAAGAAATTTCTTTTGACATTTCTAATTACTTGAAAATCGATATCTAAATTTTTTTGCTATACATATTTTAGTGCAGTTTCCGGAGCTTTTATAGCTTCTATATTAGTGACCATTTGCTCAGGTTTATTTGTTTCATCATTTTCTTCACTAACTTCACTTTGTCCTATTACAATACAATATTTACGATTTCTTGTCATTTCTTCTTGAACAAGAATATTGGCATCTAGACGATATTGAAAGGGAAGCTGAGTGATCAAACCGTTTATTTCATTTACTTATAAACGTTCCGTTTATTTTACATTATTGATATTAAAAAATATTATTAATCGCGTGTCATTACTCTTATTAGCCCAAAAGAGCAAAGACCATCATTATCCGTAATATCGAGAAAAATTTATTATTATTTAATATTAATATTATAACCCGTTATACTAATACCGAGACTCACTGTGTATCATTATTTCAGAAAAACAATCATAAATATAATATTAGAAAAATTTTATAAAGTTTGTTTGTTCATTAACAAATAAATTATTAAAAAATTAAAATTTATTGGTTTCATTGGTTCCAGTAATTCATTGTTATTATATATTTCTGGTGGTTCCTGTTTTTCCTGTGGTTCCAGTGTTCCATTGATGACCCAGAAAAAAAATCACTGGAACCAAGAAAAACTGGAAATTTTGTTCCAGTGTTCCGGTTCCGGTAATTTTCCCAAAAGTCTATATTAGTAAAATTTTGCATATAAAAAGTCCAAGCCTTGTTGATTTTGAAAATATATCTTATTATGTCTTGAATGGAAGTATTTTTAAAGAAGGTTATCTAATACAATTCAAGGAAAAAATGTTATCAGTTACACTGATTCACAAATATAATAAAAGAATGAAAAATAACGCATAATCAAACAAAATCACTGCATAACTTATGGTTATTGTACGATATCAGTGTGCAACTACAGATATACTTAATTAATGACAATAATAGTAATTAATAATTTAATCCTTACAACGAACGTGTTAAGGAAAGATATTTGATGTTATAGTGTAGTAACAGAATTACAAACCCCAAGCAATGAGTTGATTATAGAATGGGGAATTTATTATGGTCATGAATACAATCCATCTTCAGGCGGACTTGATATTTATCAAGTATGTCACAACCATTACCGATTACATCTGGCTTTTTATATCTTTTTGATAGTGTTTGTCAGAATTCAATTTTAACGAGATTTTCCAAATTTAGAAATAGAATTTACGCCCTTTTGTTGATCAAATACGTTTACAACCATTACCGATTTTTTATATCTTTTGGGAATATATTTTACAAATTTAAAAATAGAATTTACGCCCCTTTGTTAACGTGATACTTTGTAATAAACTTAATTACTAATCCTTGATTTTGGCTTTTATTTACTGTTCTCGTAAAACTTGATTAGTCCACTTCGAGCATCGAGCAAGTTTACGCCTAATTATTTTGAGAAAAGTGAAAATTTAAATTCGAATGTTAAAACCATATTGAACGATTTTTATTATGTGCTCAAAACTCATTACCATTACTATAATAATAATAATAACGAGTAATAATTTTAATCAAGGAAGTAAAAAAAGCCCGCCATGACGAAATTCGTTATAATAGGCTTCGACTGTACGTGACTACCGTTCTGACTGTTTAATCTTTATCTTTTATTCAATCAATTAGTTCTGGATCACAAATTTTTATTATAAGAGGAAGGATGAACATAGTTTATAGTTTACTAAATTAATAAATCAATAAACCCAAAACAAGATATAAACAAAGGTCAATATTATATTTAAATTCATATTTAATAAACATGATACGTCCAAAATTCGTAGATTTTTCTTTTTTATTATAAGGAAAAAATTATAAAAAAATTAATAAATAACAAATTTTATATTAATTTTTTAAATAAAACGAATAATACATGGAAGACAACAATTCTCATATAGAAGTGGTAGTGACGGATCAAAAATACTCGGAAAAAAATGAAAAAACGAATATTGAGGATAATAATTTCACTATAAATGCAAATACAAATATTATTAACAATTTGAATGGAATCACTCCACATAACGGGTGTTCAATTGATCAAATTAAATATAGTTCAAATTTTAAATTTTTTGCAACTTATAGTAGTGAAGATAGATCAATAGTTGGATGGACCGTGAATTTTGATAATGGAACAATTGAACAAGGAAAATGTTTTAAATCCACTGAAAAACTTTTTTCTCTTAAAGATCCAGATCATTCATATAAAATTTATATTGATGATGTTTCTGATAACAAGCATATCCTTCTATATAGTAATCACAAAAAAAATAAAAATTATTATAGTAAGTAATCTTTTTAATATAAAATTCATAAGTTTATGCACTATTATTTTGTATTAATTTGGTTTTTTTTAAAAAATAACCTTAGAATTTTTTGACTATTCAAAAGGAATTTCTTTTGAAATTGAAAATCAAATTTATCAAAAAAAAAAAAATTTTTTAGGTTTTATTGAATTAGAAAACTATCAAGATCAAAATAAATATTACAAAGGAATTTTTACTAACATTAAGGATAATGAATTAGTAATGATTGATTTTCACGAGCATTTAGAAAATGTTTATAAAATGCATTTTTTTACATATAACAGTCATTGTAATGTATCTTATAAGGCAACATACTGTCTTGAAAGTTATAATGAAAGTTATATTACACCATTGATTAAGACTCATTTGGATAAATTTTTAATTGCAAACAATTATGGGTTAATATCACAATGGAATGGTAAAACATTATCATATGAGAAGAATTATAATGTATTATATGTTGACAATGATATAATTTTTAATAATCATAATACATTGATAGCAACATGTTATACAAATAATACAAAATTAATAGTTTATTCACTGGAACACAATATCAATATTTCTTCATGTAAGTATTCATTGCTATTTTATAACACATATACAAACGTTTATTTATTTTTATTAATCTATATATTATTTTTTTAAATTTGTAGTTGAATTGGAGAAAAATATTTCAGTTAAAAAATTCAATTTTATTTATACAAAAGAGGAAGGAGAGGGAGAGGGAGAGAAAGAATTTTTAATGGTTGCACTTTATAATAAAAATACACAAGATTATAATTATAAGTTGATGGATCCTTATAATCTTGACAATTTTATAGATATCACAGAATATTTTAAAAAACAAATTGTAAATATGAAAGAAAAGGATATTCTAGCTGCACAAATTTTACCAATTAACAAACTAGTTGTTGTTAATGGTAGTGAAATTCACTTCAAGGAAATTATTAATGAAGAAAAATTAGATATTCAGCAAATAAGGTTTAAAAATAAAGAATGCTCATATATAGGTCAAATATTATGTGAATTATATAAAAAGATTTCAAATAATGAAACACCATCAAATATTGAAAATGTGCTAGGAAAATCTATAAATTGGTCAATAAGTTATGATGATAATTTACAAAATATTAATTTAAAGGTTCAAAAACCTAAAGGTAGATCAACAGATAACTGGATCATAATTGATGAATATGGTATCAATCAAGATGAAAAAATTTTAAGTTATAAATTATTATATAATGATGATTTATTATTAATAACAAATAATTATATACAAATTTTCTCCATTAATAATAAAACTTTCAAAATATACATGAAGTATATCAAACATGATATTCTTGAGGATGATTATAAAAAAGACCTATTAGACAGAATTAATTTATTGACAGATAGTAAAATTATTTTAGAAGATTATTTATTTAATATTGGATCAGTTGACATTAATGAATATTCATATATTGATAATAATCAAATTTTTAGACAGCCATTTAAAGAAATGATGTTATATATGTTAGAGGATTTTTATTATTTAAGTAAATATGGGAAGATAATTTTAAATTTAGCACTAAAACAAAATAATGTGATTATTGTAGAAAAAGTAGTTGATTGTTGTCTTGAATGTTTTAAAAAAAATCAGGCTAATATTGGTTTACTAAAAACAATAGTACTAGAATTACCAAGATTAGAAAAAAAGCATTATAATTTAACATCAAAATTTTTTGCCCAAACTTCATTTATATTATTTCCATCTTTTAATTCAATTAAAAATTTTGATACTTGTAATTATCAAAGTACTTATGAAATAGATATCAACAAAGATCATGAAAGTTGTGAGGATTCTTATCAAACTATGGATAAGTTTATAGACAGACTTCCTAAAAAAAAGACTCCTGGTGTAAAACTAATAATTCCATATCTTGGGTTTCTCAATTATGATAATAATTATAATTCATTTTGGGAGGAATTATATAAACCAAAAGATAGTATCTTTACCAAATTAAATACTTTGGAATTATACAAATACTTTAGTGGTGAAATCATCTTGAATTTCAAAGAAAAAATTTTTGGAGAAAAATATTTTTATACATTTTTTATTATTCATATATTATTTATATTAGCTTTTGTGTTGGGATCTATTTCTTTTCTAACAGATCAAGATACACCTGATGGTCATACCATTTCAATATATTTTTTAATTGTTCCAATAATTCTTGGATTCTTTCAACTCATTTTTGAGTTCAGACAAATGATTTGGAATCCAAAAAAGTATATTATTAATTTGAAAAACTTCATAGGTATGATTTTTATTGATAATTTATCTCAAATACTCATAACACCATATCAATGATTTTTTTGATCTCAACTATGTTGTTTAATAGATCTTGGTGCATATTTATTACCAATTACAACTTCAATTTTATGGTTATATTATGGTAGTCCACCAGATAAACAGCTGATATCATTATCTTATTTGATGACGTTGTTAAAATTCATATTATTTTTTCGGTATTTTAGAGGAGCTGGAGTTTATTTTGCAATAATTTCAGGAGTTGCTGCAAATGTCTTTCCATTTTTAGTTATTTTATCAGCAGTTTCTTTAGGGTTTTCATGTGCTTTTTATATATTACTGAGACCAGTTCAAGATTTTACATTGGATAAACCTATTTTCAATAATGATTCTAACAATCCATGGAATATTGCTACTAAATATTATACAATTTTTATGAATAACAACACTTATGAACAAAATTCTCTGATTGTTCAACAGCCTGACGATAATACCAATATGTTTGCATATTTTATATCTTCAGTGCTTGCAACATATAATTTCCTTACAGGTAATCTTATTATTAAAATTTTTTTATGATTACTATTTATTAATTAACATTAATCACATTGTTGAAATTTTTTATAGGTGATAATCAAGCATTTGGATTTTGGTCATTACAAGATGACCCTTATCTGGCATGTTTATATATAACATTTTCATTTGTAGTTGTAGTATACCTAATGAATTTATTTATTGGTTTACTTACTAATGAAATTAAAGAATTTAATCTAAGAGAAGCATTATTATATCAACAAGCAAAGGTATTATTATTTTTTAATATGTTGTATTATTAACATTATAACTCCTAGATAAATAATCAAGATTTAATTTTTAATTATTAGTTTATTGCTGAAATTGAATTATTTTATTTACTTCCCTGTCAACGTCATGATAGAAAGAATTTTCCTGATATCTTGTAAATATAATTTATTTATTTTATTTATTATTTATTAATTTGACCTTAATTATTAATTCAATCAATTTATTAGTTCATATTATATATCAGTTGTTGATATTAGGGAAAAAATTAGAGAGACAGACAATAGTAAAAAAGATCCAGGTTATCTACCGTTTATATCTGATGAACTTCGAGAACTTGTAGAAATGCCAAAGCCAGAAAAGGATATAGATATTCACTTGAAATTTGAACAAGTTGAAAATAATTTTAAAAATGAATTGAATAAAATAAAACAGGAAATTAAAGATGAAATCAAAAACGAGTTAAAAGAAGTATTAGATCAAATACGGAATGAAATTAAAATGTTGAAAAATTAATAAAAAATTTTATATATTTATTCATCAATGTATCTACTGTATATATAAATAAAATAATGAAATAAAAAAAATACCAATTGTTTTCATCCTAAGTAGTTAATGCAGTAATGGAATAAAAAAAATACCACCATAGGAATGGCTGATTGGATACAAAATTCATCACGTCAGCCTCTTTCAGTTTTATATGTAATTTTTCTCTTTTCCACCATAACAAGAGTTCACTCTAGTTAATTATAAAGTTATTACAAGAAATAAATGGAAAGAAAATAAATCATTGCGTCCGTAATTTGTAATGTTAACAAGTTTAATTTTATCCAAAAATTTCTTCTCGCTACAGCGCAGCTTACAAGAAAAAGAAAAAAATATTCCCACCCTATCCTTTCGTTCCCCTCCCTTTTCTCCTTCCCCAACTTAAGAGAAATTAAAAGCACCACTCTTTATTTAAAAAACTTTACATAATCCTTCATAAAACTCAAATTTTGGTTGGACGAATCCACCAACAATTAAAGACTGGTAATATAGACCTTTATACAATTGACTTCTTGGCTACTCAAGAAGCAACAATAACAACAACAAAAAAACAATTGTTGGGCTGGTTGGACACATTGCCAAACCTCTCTTATTACTCAGATAAAATAGCAAACAAGTATTGCGTTGTGTCCTTTATGGCGATAGAAAAATAAAAAAAAACTTTAAAAATGTCAAATTCTTTCTTTCGATACTTGGTCTTAACAAAAAAAAAAATTTTTTTGAAAATGCAATTTGAGCTTTGCAATTAAATTTCGTGAAATAAATACTTTCTTACAAACAACGCAATAGTGTTCAATTGTATTGGAAGTAGTGCTGGTTTCGAAAACTAGTGTTTCACAACCGTGCGAAAGTCAAAAGATTTCGCTATAAGTTGAAACTAGTTTTGATTTTTGACTATTGAATTTTGATTTAGTTTTGACTTTCGCCTCTACAAAATTGTTTTGGCGACTAACACTAATTGGAAGGTGGCTTTTTGATTAATATCAATTGTTTTACGTGTTCAAATTAACACTTGTCGATTAATTGCAAGCCTTTATATTCTATACCCGCCAATTAAGTTATTTTATAATGATAATTTTCTGCTTACTCATCTTTTTGTATCTAGAAGCTTCGGCGAATCTATAAGCACACTTTATGGCACAATAAATAAATATGGCCCTTTTATAAAGTGGTAAAAGCTTTTCTAAAGTTCCTTCTTATTTACTTTTACTTTTCTTTTGTCACTTAAAAGTTTGGCTAATTTGATCTCTTTACAAACCTCTTTAAACTGTTTATTTAACAATCACCATACAACCTAACATTATATATACAGTATAGAACAAGCAATTGAAGAACTTTAGTTCAATTGATTCTAAATGTTTGAATCCTAATGATTTACAATAATTATTATGTTAGTCTCTTCAGAGGAAAATAATAGATAATTAAAATTCTAATAAAATAAAACTCTGATAGAATCATTAAATAATATTAATCGTTAATAAGCTTTTAAAAATAAAAATAAATTTTTTATTTTTATTTTCTTTGTTTAAAGTGCTTTGATAAAAGCAACAAGTGTAGTTAGTGCCTTGATAAAAGGTTACCAAACAATAGTGGAACTTTGGTAAAAAGCCACGTTTATTTGCTTTAGTGAGCAAATAAGCGAGTTTATGACTGATGTTGGTTAAACTAGTGAGTATAACAACTATTAGTAATGTAATTTGCTTTAGTGAGTAAGCAAAGGTTTGGACCAACGCTAACTAATTAACTAGTGGGTGTTAATGAAGTGTCACCCAAAGGTTAATTGGAAGTGCTGGTAGTATTATTGTAGTCGTAGACGTAAGGCTGTTAAACAAGCTACTTAAGTTGTTTCGCAAGTAAACTAAAGCGAGTTTGTAATCAGCCAATAAATGTAAACGACTGAAATAAATCGATCACAAGTGAATAAAGGGGACTTTATAGAACTTGAACTTTGTAAAAGGCATTTTTGTTTATTTGACGCCATTAAATGTGCTCATAGATTTGTCCAAGTGCAAAAAAAGAGGGACCAAAGTAAACTCCTAAACTAATTAATTGACAAGAACTGAATTATTTGTAATTAACTGACAAGAATATCCCGAAAGTTTGACCATAATTAACCGGAATAATACCTCACAATGTCATTGTAAAAATTTTATTATTCAAAATATTGTTACAAGATAAATAAAAAGATAATAATAAATTTATGGTTGGAATTAAATTAGTCATTCGTCAATTCTTTGTTATTAGAATTCATTTTTTATTAATTGATTAATTAATATTGTTGGTAATGGATAGTGATTTCCAATTAATTATTAGTAATGAAAATTCACATTTTTTAACATTTTAGAGAAAAAAGTTAAAATCAAGAGTATTTAACGAGCTATTATTACTTATACAACTTTTTAAGCTTTTAAATTTAGCAATCTTTTCGTCTAATATTCTACTTGCATGATATGCATCAGGATGTGATTTGTGTGCTTGTTGCAAAGCACCACCACTACTGGTATTATTTTTATTTCTAGAAAACTTCCAAATTTCTCCACTAGTTGGTCTTTTTGACATATATCAAAAAAATAAATGATGATTGTGAGCTCTATAATCAAATGGCGGATGACCTGCAAATATTTCCCACATTAACATCCCAGCACTGTAAACATCAGTTTCTTTTATTTTTTTCCTCTAAAATAGTTCTGGTGGATACAATTCCATAGACTTTATCTGGTGACTTTTCATCAACTGGTCCACATAATCCCAAATCTGTAAGATAACAACCATCTCCTTGCAATAATATATTACCATCATGGATCAAATCTTTCCGATGTATGTCATTTAATGCATAACATAAATAGTAAAAAATTTAATTCTGTTTTTATGTTAAATATTTTTTTGTAAATAAATCATACTCCGCAAAAAATATCCGCAAATTTTGTGATAAGAAAAAATCGAATTAATCAATCTTGTCCAGGGACGATTCATCATGGATATTATGTATAATGCATAATTGTTGAGCTGTATCAATAGCATAATAACAAAATATTGTGTGCGAATTTTTTAGTATCTTTATCGCATGTAAATTTTGACAACAAGAATATATTTTTTGAAAACGTGAATTATAAAAGAAATTTATCAGTTACAATGAAAATTTTTATAGTAAATTTAAGGATAGTTTTTTTTTGACAACCGATCATTTTTAAAAGTTCTATATAGTCAGTCATAATAACATTATATTAATATATACGGTGTATATCATCTAAAATCAACACTAGAATTAAAGCTAAAGAGCTAAGATTCACTTCTATCATTCTACTTCTTTCACTATCTTAAAATTTTGTAAAGTCATTGAGGTCCAAAGTTGAAGCATTTCATATTAATATATTAATATTCTGTAAATTTTAAAATTTTGGACTCCATTTTTATTAGTGATGTTAGCCGGCAAGAACTTGAATAAATTTTTTATCTAATAATTTAGTAGACAAATATCATACTTTATATGAATTCACTAAAAATCGTGGTTTTTTATTATTTTACTAAACGTTGTGCGTGAAATTTAAATTGGCCAATCAGAATTTTGTATCCAAAAATTTATTAATATAGAAATTCATTTTCACGCGCAACATAAAATCATGAATATGGTAAAAAATTCTAGCCAGCTAACATTTGATCAATCGAATTAATTATTCTTATTGAAAAATTCAATTAAAACATAATAAAAAATTAATTATATAAAAATTAAAAAAATTAACCAACTTATTGATCAAAAAGTTTATAATTTTCTCTCAAAAACAGTATATTATGAAGATTATTTTGGTTCAATATATTTCTTTTTTTTGTGAAGACGTTACCAGCTGAGGAAAACAACCTCTCAGATGGAACTGAGGTTGCTGGTATAGCTAAATAAACCCTAGCTTGAACTGCTAGATTTGGTAGGACTACTTTTTTCTCATTCCACCAAAGGAGTGGATTTTCTTCTAACTGTACCTTTTGCAATGTCAAATAAAATTCAATTTCAGATTTTATATTTTTGGAAATGCTAGTATCATCTAATATTATAATAAAATTTAGTTAATAAACTTATTGATTGTTTAATATTGAAAAAGATATATTGCTTACCCTTGGCAGAAACATCTTCAAAAAATAATGATAAAGCTGATTTTAAGGAACCAGAATTCTCTTCTATATCATTTAAATTACACTGATTATTATTTTCAAGATATTTTAAAATTAAATTATGTATATATTTATGCACTTCTTTTCGTTTCACATGAGTTAAAAAATTTAGATCTTTAAATCTTGGATCTAAAAACGTTGCAGTCAAAGCGGTTATTCCAGGGTCATTCCACCTATAATCTACACTACCTGGATAAAAGTATAGGGACACCTGCAGATCATCACAAATAATTGAATAAAGTGACATGACAAAAACTAAAAATTTTACTATCCCAATCACACTTGCTTATTAAGTAAAAATTAATTTTCGTATCAAATACTATAATATACTGAAGTTTCACCGCATATAAATAAACCATTGTTGTTTTACAAACCTTAAAAGATAAAAATGAAAATTCCGGAATTTTTTTAAAAATCTTTAACTCAAAAATTGACTATAATAGCAATTTCTAACATCTTTTATGGTATAATTAAAAAATGCTCGCCATGTTTGAAACTGGTTGTCTGCAAAATTTCGCAAATTGTGCAATATTATTTCTCAATTTATTGACAAAAGTACTAAACGGATTGATTTTTTCCAATTTTGAAGATTGTTAAAAAAAAATTTGCAAAATTTAAATTGCAATCGTGAAGCAAATTCTTATCCAAATTAAACCATATTTTTTTCAAAGACTCAAATGCCAAGAGGTACTGAATTATCTGAATTTGAACATGGAGAAATTATTGGTTTAAAAAAGGCGAATTTTTCTTATAGGGAAATAGCCAACATATTAAATAGATCCAAAAGAGCAGTTGAAAACACCATTAATGATTATTTTAATAAAAATAAAACAACTGCAGCTCTCAGGACTGGCAGAGCTAAAAAATTATCAACTCGTGATGAAAGGCAGCTTGTAAAAGCAGTAAGAAAAGTCCCTAAAACAACTGCCTATCAATTATCCAAACAACTTGAAGAATTAAACATTATAGCAAGTGAAAAGACTGTCAGGCGAACTTT